CTGATCACTGAGGAAGGCTTTCTTATCTCTCCTTGATATTCTTTGGAACTCTGCATTCAAATGGGTATATCTTTCCTTTTCTCCTTTGCCTTTAGCCTCTCTTCTTTTCTCAGCTATTTTTTTTCCATTTATTTTTATTAGTTGGAGGCTAATTACTTTACAATATTGTAGTGGTTTTTGTCATATATTGACATGAATCAGCCATGGATCAGCTATTTGTAAGACCTCCTTAGACAACCATTTTGCCTTTTTGCATTTCTTTTTCTTGGGTCTTGATCACTGCCTCTTGTACAATGTCACTAACCTCCATCCATAGTTCTTCAGGCACACTGTCTATCAGATCTAACCTCTTGAATCTTTTAGTCTCTTCCACTGTATAATTGTAAGGGATTTGATTTAGGTCATACCTGAATGGTCTAGTGGTTTTCCCTACTTTCTTCAATTTAGGTCTGAATTTGGCAATAAGAAGTTCATGATCTGAGCCACAGTCAGCTCCCAGTCTTGTTTTTGCTGACTGTATAGACCTTCTCCATCTTTGGTTGCAAAGAATATAATCAATCTGATTTCGGTGTTGACCATCTGGTGATGGCCATGTATAGAGTCTTCTGTTGTGTTTTTGGAAGAGGGTGTTTGCTCTCATCAATGCGTTCTCTTGGCAAAACTCTGTTAGCCTTTGACTTGCTTCGTTTTGTGCTCCAAGGCCAGATTTGCCTGTTACTCTGGGCTCAGAGGGTAAAGCATCTGCCTGCAATGTCGAGACCTGGGTTCGATCCCTGGGTCAGGAAGACCCCCTGGAGAAGGAAATGGCAATCCACTCCAGTACTCTTGCCTGGAAAATCCCATGGACAGAGAAGCCTGGTGGGCTATAGTCCATGGGATTGCAAAGAGTCGGACATGACTAAGAGACTACAATTTTCCAGGTATCTCTTGACTTCCTGCTTTTGCATTCCAGTCCCCTATAATGAAAAGGACATCTTTTTTGGGTGTTTGTTCTAGAAGGTCTTGTAGGTCTTCATAGAACTATTCAACTTCAGCTTCTTCAGCATTATTGGTCGAGGCATAGACTTGAGTTGCTGTGATCTTGAATGGTTTGCCTTGGAAACAAACAGAGATCATTCTGTTGTTTTTCAGATTGCATCCAAGTACTGCATTTCGGACTCTTTTGTTGACTATGATGGCTATTCCATTTCTTCTAAGGGATTATTGCCCACAGTATATATATAATGGTCATCTGAGTTAAATTCACCCATTTCAGTCCATTTTAGTTTGCTTATTCCTAAAATGTCGATGTTCACTCTTGCCATCTCCTGCTTGACCACTTCCAATTTGCCTTGATTCATGGACCTAATATTCCAGGTTCCTATGCAATACTGCTCTTTACAGCATTGGACCTTGCTTCCATCACCAGTCACATCCACAACTGGGTGCTGTTTTTGCTTTGGCTCTCTTCATTCTTTCTGGAGTTATTTCTCCACTAATCTCCCTTTCTCCACTAAATCTTCTCATTGAACATCAATACTTTCTTTAATTTCATAGCTAAGTCAGAGCTATATCCAGAGGACAAATCTTCCTTTTTGCCTTAAACCACAAAACAGTCTTAAATACAGAACAGTCCACTGATTAATTTTTTTATTGCAGTATAGTTGACCTATAAAATTGTACTAGCTTTAGGTGTTCAGAAAAGTGGTTCAGTTATACGTGTGCACAGATGTTCTTCAAAACAGGCCACTTCTGAAGACTCAGCATGTAGCCCCACAGCTCCTGGCCCCCCTGGCCCAGCCACTCCCCGCCCCTCACCTGCCCTCCAACCAAGTCTCATGGAGGAGGAAGCTCAAGGTCACAGTGCAGCTACTTCACAGCAGATTCACAGGCATTTGCTTCTTCAGGGAGAAAACATAAAATATTGTCCAAAACAAGTTTTTCAAATTACTCTATTAACTTCATGTAAAAAGTCATTTGTAGTGCTGCCAGGCTTTACTTTATCAATATCACCATCCTCCAGCTCAAAGCATTTCCTCTCTCACTTTCCGGGATTATCACACGTGTAAGAGGTTTGGAGTTGCAGAGGCCTTAGCGGTCAGTCAGTGTAAGACTCAATCAGAGCTGTGCTGTTCTCCTGGGATGTGCCCGACATCCAGCACTCTGTCTGAAGACTTCAGTGGGTTCCATTTCCTCCTCCAGGGGATCTTCCTGACCCAGGAATCGAACCTGCATCTCTTGCATTTGGCAGGTGGATTCTTTACCACAGAGCCACCAGGGAAGCCCCGGGGGCTGCGTTTTAATCCGCTTAAAAGCAAACAGTCTTCAGTCTACTAAAAGTCAACAAAGATGGCATTTCTCATACAGTTCTGTTTGGCAAAAGGAATGGCACCAAGTCTGCCTCAGCCAGCAGGTCCCCAGCTGGAATCGGAGTCTGCGTCACCGTGGGGACGGGACTCACCTTCGTGTACTCGTCTTTGGCCTTGGTCAGCATCCGCAAGATGTCGGCCTCCTTGCCCTCTCCTGAGCCAAGGCTCACAGGCGAGGCCCCAGCTCCCGCTCCATGGTGGGCTTTCAGCTGTTCGTACTGAGTGAGGCTAGAAAATTAGAGGGGAGATCCACACCAGAAAAGACAGCTTAACACGACCAGCCAGTTCTCACCCAGTTGTTTTTATCTTGTTACAATCATATTAGAAAAAAGACTGCTGGAACTGATGGGAGAGACATGGGAGTTGAGATCCCAAGCTCACTGACCACAGGACTGCATCTGGAGAGGGGTGGCCTCCGCCCTGCCTGGTGTCCCGTGGCAGCTGTCACCCAGCCAGGGCAGGGTTGAGGGGCTGGGACGGAGGCCAGGTGGCCCTGCAAGGCTGAAAGTATTCTCTATTGGGTCCTTTTCAGAAGAAGTCTGTGACTCCTTATTGTGAGCATTTGGAGGGACCCCTGAACTGCTGGGGAACCCAATTCAGGGTTCTCAACCTGGAGACTGGGTTCCCAACATGGCAGATCCAGTCTCCCCCTTCTTCCAAAGTGCCTGGGAGTTGAAGCACAGCTGAGCCCAGCCCCCGTGTCCTGGGTGGTTTAGAAGCACAGCTAAGGTCCCACCCCAGAAGAGGGGGCGTGAAAACACAGCACTGGGAAGCGCCTTCTGTTCTCCTGAAAACCTTGCAGAGGGGAGGCCAGACTGCTTCCCCGCTGGCATGGGGACACGTCTCCCTCCTATAGGAGGGCTCTGACCATCACGCTTCCCCATCGCTGCCATGAAGTCTGCAGGGAAAGAAAGCTGCGGGTTCGCTGAGGCTCAACTCTGAGAATGGGCGGGGAGTCCACATGCATCGCACTTGGCTAATTGCTCGTCACCAAGCAGGTCCTGCCCCAGCTGCTGAGGAATCGCCACAGAACCTGAGTGTCTTCACACGGCCTCCTGGCTGGGGGACACGGTGCCTTTTAATCTATATGAAGCCCTGCTATTATTATCCACCGCACAGTTTACAATCACAGGAATGTTCTAGGAACTAGCTGTTACGGTGGTAAATACCAGTTTGAACACACTTAATCACCATCTGCAGCCTGAGCTGTTTACCTAAAATTAGCTCTTACCAGCTCGGCTTTTCAGAAATCAGTCTTAATCTATAAAAAAGTGCTCCCCACAGCCCATATTTCAGGGCCACTTTTGAGCCATACATCAACAAGAATCAGCCACAGGTTTGCATATGGCCCTACCTTCTTGAGCCTCCCTCCCATCTTCCACCCCTAGGTTGTCACAGCGCACTGGGTTGAGCTCCCTGAGCCATACAAGCGAATTCCCACTGGCTATCTACTTTACAGATGGTAGTATATATGTTTCCCTGCTACTTTGGCCATTTCATTGACCTAGGATTTAAAACTGACAAATGGTTGGTTCTGTTGCAGATGGAGCTGCTTGCTTGAGCCTGTGTGGGAGGCAGCTGGATTCCATGTATGGCTGAGCCCAGTCCTGGCCCAGGGTCATGGCATGCAGGAAGCTCACTCGCTCCCAAGCTCTGAACCAGCCACAGGAATGCAGGGAAATAACTCCCTTCCCGTGAGTGGCTCTGAGGCTTGAGAACCTCAGAGGGTTGACAGACCCCCAGGGGGACAGCATGCCGACCTGGGCATCCTCTCAGGTCATCAGGGGAGCGAGAGCAGGACCAGGAGACTGTCATGTAAGTACCCCCAGCCTCATGCCGACCGGCACCAGTCAACAAGGCCTCCAAGATTAATAGAAAAAAGACTAGAAACACAAAAGAGAGAGAGAGTCCATCTGCTGATCACTAAACTAGTATTAGCTCAGATATTTCCGAAGATATTGAAAACAAAGACTCAGCAAAGCCCTTGAAAAGTCACATGGGAGGGGGGTTCAAGACCCACAGGCAGATGGAGGGGAGTCCTGGGGGCAGGAGGGCATGGGGACTCCAGAGGAGGTGGGGCAGCCTTTCAGAAACACTCTGAATGTCCTCCTCACTGAGATATACCAATAGCTTTTCAGAGGAAAAAGCTGCTAATTTATAAATGAGGATGGTATTAAGGAAAACTGCCATCCAGAAAAACTGATATTACAGATCACATGCACAGAAAAAAAAGAGGGGGCCACCCTACATAATAAATCTTATCACGTGGAAGCGTGAGACATTGTCATTTACGCTTATTCTTCATCTGGTGAGTAATGGTGCAGGTGTTCCTAAGCACGGTGATGGGGCTGCAGTCGGAGATGGGCTCTGTTTACCCGTGGCGCAGTCCCACACACTCAAACACAGAACACATCCCACAGCACTTACTTCTTCATCAGCTCTGCAATTCTTTGGCACTCTTCCTTGTCATAAAACCAAATTCCATAGATGGACACTGCAAGAAACACAGGGCCAGTGAATGAATGTCTTCAAGAAGGGGAAACAAATCCCCTTTCCACCATGAGGGGAGTACACACTCGTACAATAAATGAACTAGTCGCTGGAGTCAAAGCTTGAAAACCTTGAGCTGGGGATTTTTAAGCCCAAAGAGAAGGTATGCACACACACATGCATGCACAGACACACACTGAAGTGTCCTGTCCTTACAAATACAGCACCTGGACACAACAGGCACGTGGCAAATGCTTAGACGGATGAGCAGACTGAAGACGAGCCCCAGCTCTCTGCCCTTCAGCTCTGCAGCGTCACTGCCTCACATGCCTTCACACACTCACACACACAAACATGTGCACACACACACATTCTCACATACACATGCTCACAGAGCTCTCACGCACACAAACACATTCACACACACACACATTCTCACATACACATGCTCACAGAGAACGCTCATGCACACAAACATGTTCACACACACACAAATCTCAAATATACACACTCACACAGAGCTCTCACACATATAAACACGTTCACACACACACACACGTGCGCGCGCACGCTCCATCTTCTTAGCTATTGGACACCTGACACACATATTAGGCCTGGAAGCTTCTCTCCCTTCTCCTTTTTCCCGGAAAGGTGTTATTAACTGAAAGATTGGTTTTGGAGGCCTTAAGTGAGGATACAGTGCTGGGAAAATAAAATTCAGTAATGAATGTGCAACTCCAAAGTGTCTGCACAGAATATTTACAACTTTTGAAAGACCAGATACAACCATGACTTAATGATTTAGTGATGAAAGAACAATGTGGCATAATACAGTTGCTATTGATTCAGTTAATTTTCAAGTAAGTCGTATATATTAGTATGTACAATCTATGTCATTTTTATAGCAAAGGCTAAACAGGTCCAAAGGCTCCCCAGGCGGCTCAGCAGTAAAAATTCCACTTGCCAATGCAGGAGACGTGGGAGACTCGGATTCAGTCCCTGGATCGGGAAGATCTCCTGGAGGAGGAAATGGCAACCCACTCCAGTATTCTTGCCTGGAGAATTCCATGGACAGAGGAGCCTGGCAGGCTACAGTCCATGGGGTCTCAAAAGAGTTGGACACTAGTTAGCGACTCAACAACGACACAAACAGGTCTAAAATAAGTTTATAAAGATCTAGTCGAGGATCTGCTAATATTAATCACACCAATAACACATTAGCTACACACACATTTAAAAAATCTTCACTGAAAACAGCTGCTAAGTTATGACAGGACAATGAGAGTCAACAAAATATACTTAAAAAATACTTTTCTTAATTTAAATTTCCAAAATATTTAATTATATGGGTATTATTTGGTCATTAAAACATTTGTGATATTTTAATCACTGCCCCTGTCCCACCCTGACTCACCTACCAGTGGCCCTGTGGGTCTTTCTCTTTCTTGTCAGTGAAGACTCAGTGAAAGGTACAGAAGTGTTGTTTTAGTGCTGTGTTAAGCAGATGCTTTTAAAAGGACTCTATAAATCTGACCCCTATAAATGGGGGTAATTTTTGTGGTCCGTGCACCAGGAATCTTTATCTTACCTGTGAGTGCAGGGGCGGGGCAAGTGGAAAAAAAAAACCCAGCTTTCTCTTGATCGGACCACTGCGCGTTCTTTGAAATACACACACATACTGCTCTCTGATACATGGACACTCTGGAGAAAGAGTCTGAGTTTTGAAGCCTACGCGCTGAGAGCCTTGGTAGCCAAAAGAAAGTCTTTTGCCCCAAGACCATTAAGTGAGTCTCTCAGGACTTGACTCTGGGCTCTTCCCGGCCCATAGACATTGATCCCTGGTGCCAGCTGTCCCTACAGAGTCCCGCAGGCCAACCCATCGCTGTGTGCTCCCCTGAGTGAGAGTGGATTGGATCACCGACACTACGATCACAGCGACTGAGAAACCTGAAGGCGTTGCGTGTTTTGGGGCTTCAGTCCTCGTTACAAACCCAGGATCCTGCTCTGTTCTCTGGTTACAGTGAAGATTCCTTTCCATGGAGATGGAATTTTCCAAAACTACCAAAGGAGGAAAGCGGTAGCCGCAGGGAAAAACACGTCACCGAGGAAGTGGAAGCCCGGTAGCCAGGAAAGAGCAGCCATTTATGTCTTGTCAGGAGAACATGAAAGTAGAAATATATCAGTTGGAATTTTGGGGGGGATGTTACATACTTGTGACATTTAAGGAGCCAGGTTCTCATAAGGATCGGATGCCAAGCAAACTATTGACATAAGTGGAAAAGCGGTCTATGTTATTACTACGAGAAACCCGAAATGCAGACGGAGGGGAAGATATCCGTGGGAACATGTTTCAGATGCTGATGGGGGAACGGAGAGGGGCCCGGGCCTGAAGCGATGGAGGGACACCATAGAGGTTTCCTGAGGACCCAACTGACCGCTTATCTCTAAAGCAGCATGGCTTTAAGATTAGAACGGGGTCATATTGAAACAACTCTTTTCATCCCAGTTAATGTGCTATTTGAATGTACAGCTTAAAACAGTCGAGGAGGAAAAACAGATTTACCAAGTCCTCGCTCCCGAGAGAGAGCATGAGATAACACACAGAACTGGGCCTAACTTTCTTCTCCTTAAAATAGTTTCCCAGCCTGGGCCACATTCCATGGGAGCCCCCGCCTCTCAGGCCCGCGTTCCCAGCTGGGCAGGCCTATCGCTGTCCTGTGTCCCAGCGGCTGGTGGTGACCCACGCAAACCAGAGCCTGTCACCAGCCGGGAGGTGCTGAGCTGATGGGCTGATAGATCCATCACATCTCGCGTCCCTTCTTCCCGGGCGGCCGCAGGACGAGGCCAGCCTGGGGTGGGCAGTGGGCACCACAGGGAGGAAAGAAGACAAGCTGAACAGGACCGAGGGAGAAGGTGCACTCCTGGCATTCTCAGACTTGGGAGTGGTCGCTGCAGCCTAGCTCGAGTCTGGGACACGGGGCACTGAGCGGTCAGCAGGAGATGCTCTGAGCGCTCTGGGGCCCCAGACCCACCATGCTGCGAGCCTTCTTCCCCCACTCCACGCCTGGGTACCAGCCACTGCCCCGCCGCCCTGCCGCCCCCCAGGCGGGCTCCAGGGGTACGCTGGTGCATGAGGCTCAGCTCAGCTGCTCTTATGTCTCTCCTGGAGGTAAGAGACCCCAAGGTGGGGGGAGGACTAGGAAGATCCTGTTGATATTCACTCTAAACCAGTTAATGATGCCCAGGATGGGCCCCCCCACGCCATGAACACATTTTGAGTGCAGTCTTCTTCCTGTTGATGAATGCAGGCCTTTAACAGCACAGCTGTGAAATTCTGCCTAAAAACTGCCTTGGCCTGGTTTATGTCATGCTTTGGGGATTCTTGGTTGAAAAGAGAAATGTTTGAGGCAGTAGGCAAGGTATCACCATTGGGACCTGTCTGTTAAAATGTCATCTATTTACGCCTTCTACTTTCCTTCTAATTCTGCAAGAAAGATGAGCAAAGCAGAATTTCTGTATTAGATTTCACATCTAAATGTTGAGGGTACAACAGACATGAGAGAGAACAAGCTGATGGGATCTGATAGTGTTGTTTTCTTCTTTTTAAATTTCTCCAGCAGAAAAGTCTAAAGTTGATATTTGAAGAGGCTGGTTGAAAGGGTCACAGAGGGAAAAGCAGATGTCCTTGAGCTCACCTGCATTAGGGGACCTCCGATCCTCGTTAGCATGGTGCGTGAGGTTATTCTGCAACCTCCCTGGGGATTAACTCGTCTAGTTTATGTTTTAACAAATATTTCTCTAAATCTCTTCTTTGAAGACATTCGTCATTTGTTTCATATTTGGCCTCAAAAATCTTTCAACTTCAAATCATGAAGGTGGTTTGTGATCTTTTAGCAATATTCATGCTAATGTGTGCAACTTTAAAATATAAGCCGTATTTCCATATGGTTACTGAGTAGGTAAGCTGGAACTGCGACGGTGACGTCTGCGAAGGCAGGATAGGATGTCTGATGTGGTACTGCTCCCGCCCCTCCCACCCCCTCTCATTCCCTTTCAAAGTAATCTCACAAATTTTTCTCAAAAGGATAGGTCAGTAGGCAGGAAAGAAGGCATTTAAGTCCTCTCTTTGCACTGGGAAAAGCCATGGAAACCAGGGGGTGTGAATTACACAAACCTCTTCTGGGCACTTAAGGATAAGCCAAAAATCTTAAAATTCCTTCAAACCCCATTCCCTTCAGTAAGTCTTTCTCAAATGAGTGGAATAATAATCCCAGTGGAAGGACCAAGAACATCTAATCATATACTTGGTGTAAACACTTGTTGTTGAGGCTTTGCTCGAATATAGAATTGCTTGATTTCTTGTCCTGATTTTCCCTTTATAGTTTTTGTAGCTCGACCCCAAAGATGGTGACTGATTACTGGCATTTGTTCCTAAGCGTGCGTGTGCGTGCACATGCACACATACACAGCTACTGTCCTTCCAAAAGACCAGAGGATAGTTAAACAGAAAGTGAGGGTCATGAACTGTCAGAGCTGGAGGTGGGTGCAGGTGGGCAGTTCACACGCCTGACACATTGGAGGGGGGGGGTAGACTCCTGCGGCCACAGTCCTGTTTCCGGTTCAATCTGTTTGCGTAAAATATACCCCTCCTCTGGCTTTACAAACAAAATACACAGAGTATAAAAACAATGTTTATGTTTGAATGACTTGAAGACTTGGTTATAAGAGATGGGAATTCATCTTGTTTAAATTAAGGTTCATGTGAACTCTCACAAGGACCCAAGGGAGGGTGGAGGGAGGAAGGAGAAGGGGGTGCAGGAAGCGGGGTGTCTAAGGGCAGGGGTTGCGAGGGGGGCTCTGTATTCATGGCTGGGTAACGGGCTGCATGGCTGCTTTGTGTTGACCGGCCCTTCCACCCCATTCGGACTCTGCACTAAAGACGCATTCCATCTGCATGCTCTTTAATGCCTGTAAAGTCACATTCTTTCATTCACCCTCTGCTTC